GGGGGCTGGGGCTGCGCAAGGTGTGCTGGCTGAGGTCTGTCAGTCAGGCCATCCAGCCCTGGGTGGAGACAGTGAGGTACCAACCCCTGGGGGTGTTCTCAGGGAGGGACCAGCCAGCCCCGGGGGAGGAGTCCTTTGAAGCCTGGCTGGACCACACCACTGACATGCTGCTTGTGTGGCAAGGGGTCTCAGAAAGAGAGAGGAGGAGGCGGCTGATAGAAGGCCTCCGAGGGACGGCCCTGCAGGTGGTGCACGAGCTCCTGGCGGAGAACCCTGCCAGGACGGCCCAGGATTGCCTGGCCGCCCTGATCCAGGTGTTTGGAGACCACGAGTCCCAGGCCACCCTGCGGCTCAAGTGTCTGACCGCTCAACGATGGTCAGGCGAGACGCTCTCCGCTTTCGTGTTGCGGCTGGAAGTCCTGCTACAGAAAGCCATGCAGGAGGGGGCCCTGGACAAGGCCTCAGCCGACCACTTGCGCGTGAGGCAGGTGCTCACCAGGGCCAACATCATTGAGCCGCTGCGAGAGGTCCTGAGGAAGCTGGGCATGGTGGGGAGGCGTCCAACTTTCCTGGGGATGCTGGGGCTGGTTCATGAGGCTGAGGCATGGGAGGTCAATATAGCCAGGAGCCTCAGAGACCAGCCGACAGAAGGGGATGCTGCCCAGGCTGATGCCAGAGCTCAGGTCGAGGGTAACAAGGTGGTGGAGAAGCAGCAGCTGCAGGAGAATAGTGACAACCGTGACCCTGCCCTTGCAGGCCTGGGTCAGACAGGGCCCTCAGAGGCCCCTGGGGGACCCCTGCCTGCCCACATGGGCAGTGTTTCCGGGGCAGGTCCAGGAGGTCCTGGCACTGTGCCAGAGGGCCTGGCCCAGGTGGGAGACCAGGAGGCTGAGGAACACCCCCAGAAGGGGCTCAAGCCCATCCCAGAGGAGTCAGAAAGTGAGGATGGTGCTGGGGAGCTGAGCCCCGTCATGTCCTCCCCTGGCAAATAGCTAACAAGGCCTGGCACCCTCCTCTCCTTTCGGGCATCAGAGCACTGGAATCAGAGGGTAGGGGAGCCAGGCCAGGGCAACCTCCTCACCCCACATGGGGAGCAGAGCCCAGGGAAGTGCCCGCCCAGCTCATACCCCCTACTACCCCACCATGCTATGGGGGCCTGACCACCACCATCAGCCCTTCCAAGTCACCAAGCTGACCATATTTGACACCCAATGGGGTGGGGAGAGGTGCCCCCACATGGTAGCACCACACCTGGCCTCAGCCCCAACCCCTACCAAATTGGGCAGCTGGCCTGGGAGCACCACTGAGCAGCCCATCTCAGCCTAGGAGAGGGGCACCTGAAGACATCTGCCACCCGTGTGGACTGGGAAACTTTAGAACCCATAACAGGGGTGCCACTTTTGGGGACCCCCATTCTCCATCCCCTGGGGAGACCCCAACTCATTTCTCTATAGTCCCATAGTGACCCATGTGTCAAGTAATCACCCCCCATCACACACACACACACACACACACGCCATGGCGCCTGTGCAGAACCACCTGGTGTGTGTGAACCCAGGTGGATGTCCTGCCCCCCCCCCAACCCCGGGGCAGCCACCTCTCAGCCCTGGCACGTGCTGTGAACCCACTGCCAGCCAAGGCTCTGCCAGCTCTCATCCAGTGTTGTGAGCTCAGCCTCTGCTTTCTCGGTGTAGATTTAGGTCAACCGCTGCTTGTGCTTGTAGAGATGTGTGTTCTTCTCTGAGCAGTTCCCCACCACCACTCCCACCCCGGATGGAGACCCCAAGCCCAGGCCCAGAAGAACGGATGAGAAAGACGGACCAGGGCATGTCTGGCGCTCACTCATTGACCCTGGGAAGAACTGTACAGTGGCAGAAGGCGGCTGCCAGAGGCTCCACGGACACCCTGATGCTCTGATGTCACCCTGTTGTTCCCTGTAACTCAGTTTCCTCAGCATGTTGGAGTGTCCCCTGCTGTGTTTTCCAGTGTCCTCTGTCTGTCCTGTGCAGGCCACAGGGCACGGCCAGGCCCCAGCATGTCATCCATAGGGGGAGGGAGCCCTGCAATGAGTGGACATCACCAATGTCCATGGTCCTTTAAAGTCCAATCAAGGGGCCCTCAGGGAGGGAGACTGCGGTGGGAGGGCTGTGGTGTGGGGGAAGCCGAGGCAGCTGGTCAGAGACCCCAGGAGGAGGTGGGGGTTGTGACCTATGGGGTCTATTGGCCGTTAGAAGTTCCTCTCTGTGTTGTCATTCCCTTTCTTCAATGAATTCAGTAAATGTTTCTCTTCAATAAACTTCATTGAATGATTCAGCTGAGTTTCGCCTCTGCTGTGGGCAATTGAGGGAAGGGTCTTCTGGGGATGAGGCTGGAGGGGCAATAGTAATCTTGTACTCAGGATCATCTTTGGGCTATGTTTGGGACAGGGTCCAAGAAGGTCTGCCAGTTCGCCTGGGCTGGAAGCACTGATAGCAGGAATTTTTAGGCATGGCAGTGGCTATTTAGGTCCCGAGAGACCCAGGAATAATCAGTTTATAGGATGAAGGGAGGGGAGGAACAGCAGGTAGGACCAGAGGTCCTAGGATCCTTGACGGGGGTGTGGGCGCCCAGAGTGTGTTATCAGGTCACGAAGATCACGTGTGCAGTTCAGAGACCAGAGGGCCATAGAAGGGCCCAGCAATAAGGTCAGATGCCCTTGCAAGTAGCTCTGCAGGACTCCGGGGTTTACTGGGGTGACTGCCTACCCATCCTTGATCAGCCTACTCCTGCCAGCTGACAAGTGGCCAGCCTTGGTGTTCACAATGAGGGATGTTTGGGGGACAAGAGTGTGTGATGGGTGAAGAATGGAAAGTGGGCCAACTGGGGATTCACAGTGCTTAGCAATGCCAGTGGGGGGGGAAGGCTGGGACAGCCAACCCAGGCATCCAACAGAGGAGCTATTTCTACCCTCCCCAACCTGCCACAGTGTTGCATACCCGAGGAATCAAAACCAAACTACAGTAGTGTCTAGTGAAGGTCGAGTTTGGAAATGTCCAGGTCATGTGCAGAGAACGAAGGCACCCTAGAGCAGCAGCAATCTTTGCAACCACTGTAGCAGCCAGCACAGGAAAACCCACAAGGGGGAGCAGCCAAGCTACATAGGGCCTAGGAGGCTGTAGACATGGCCATTAGGATGTCCTGAAAAAGTCTCTTATGGATGCTGGGCATAAATCCTTTCCTGGGCCCCCAACAGCAAGCAGACCCTTCCCTCAATTGCCCACAGCAGAGGCGAAACTCAGCTGAATCATTCAATGAAGTTTATTGAAGAGAAACATTTACTGAATTCATTGAAGAAAGGGAATGACAACACAGAGAGGAACTTCTAACGGCCAATAGACCCCATAGGTCACAACCCCCACCTCCTCCTGGGGTCTCTGACCAGCTGCCTCGGCTTCCCCCACACCACAGCCCTCCCACCGCAGTCTCCCTCCCTGAGGGCCCCTTGATTGGACTTTAAAGGACCATGGACATTGGTGATGTCCACTCATTGCAGGGCTCCCTCCCCCTATGGATGACATGCTGGGGCCTGGCCGTGCCCTGTGGCCTGCACAGGACAGACAGAGGACACTGGAAAACACAGCAGGGGACACTCCAACATGCTGAGGAAACTGAGTTACAGGGAACAACAGGGTGACATCAGAGCATCAGGGTGTCCGTGGAGCCTCTGGCAGCCGCCTTCTGCCACTGTACAGTTCTTCCCAGGGTCAATGAGTGAGCGCCAGACATGCCCTGGTCCGTCTTTCTCATCCGTTCTTCTGGGCCTGGGCTTGGGGTCTCCATCCGGGGTGGGAGTGGTGGTGGGGAACTGCTCAGAGAAGAACACACATCTCTACAAGCACAAGCAGCGGTTGACCTAAATCTACACCGAGAAAGCAGAGGCTGAGCTCACAACACTGGACGAGAGCTGGCAGAGCCTTGGCTGGCAGTGGGGTTCACAGCACGTGCCAGGGCTGAGAGGTGGCTGCCCCGGGGTTGGGGGGGGGCAGGACATCCACCTGGGTTCACACACACCAGGTGGTTCTGCACAGGCGCCATGGCGTGTGTGTGTGTGTGTGTGTGTGTGTGTGTGATGGGGGGTGATTACTTGACACATGGGTCACTATGGGACTATAGAGAAATGAGTTGGGGTCTCCCCAGGGGATGGAGAATGGGGGTCCCCAAAAGTGGCACCCCTGTTATGGGTTCTAAAGTTTCCCAGTCCACACGGGTGGCAGATGTCTTCAGGTGCCCCTCTCCTAGGCTGAGATGGGCTGCTCAGTGGTGCTCCCAGGCCAGCTGCCCAATTTGGTAGGGGTTGGGGCTGAGGCCAGGTGTGGTGCTACCATGTGGGGGCACCTCTCCCCACCCCATTGGGTGTCAAATATGGTCAGCTTGGTGACTTGGAAGGGCTGATGGTGGTGGTCAGGCCCCCATAGCATGGTGGGGTAGTAGGGGGTATGAGCTGGGCGGGCACTTCCCTGGGCTCTGCTCCCCATGTGGGGTGAGGAGGTTGCCCTGGCCTGGCTCCCCTACCCTCTGATTCCAGTGCTCTGATGCCCGAAAGGAGAGGAGGGTGCCAGGCCTTGTTAGCTATTTGCCAGGGGAGGACATGACGGGGCTCAGCTCCCCAGCACCATCCTCACTTTCTGACTCCTCTGGGATGGGCTTGAGCCCCTTCTGGGGGTGTTCCTCAGCCTCCCGGTCTCCCACCTGGGCCAGGCCCTCTGGCACAGTGCCAGGACCTCCTGGACCTGCCCCGGAAACACTGCCCATGTGGGCAGGCAGGGGTCCCCCAGGGGCCTCTGAGGGCCCTGTCTGACCCAGGCCTGCAAGGGCAGGGTCACGGTTGTCACTATTCTCCTGCAGCTGCTGCTTCTCCACCACCTTGTTACCCTCGACCTGAGCTCTGGCATCAGCCTGGGCAGCATCCCCTTCTGTCGGCTGGTCTCTGAGGCTCCTGGCTATATTGACCTCCCATGCCTCAGCCTCCTGAACCAGCCCCAG